TGGTCATCCAGGGGAGAGAATATATTGATCACCCAGGGGACAGGAGGATTTGGTCAGCAAGGGGAGAGAAGGTATTGGTCAGCCAGGGGAGAGAAGGTATTGGTCACCAGGGGAAAGGAGGTATTGATCACCCAGGGGAGAGGAGGTATTGGTCAGCCAAGGGAGAGGAGGTATTGGTCACCCAGGGGAGAGGAGGTATTCGTCATCAAGGGGAGAGGAGTTATTGGTCACCCAGGGAGAGGAGGTATTGGTCATCCAGGTGAGAGCAGATATTGGTCATTCGAAGAGAGGAGGTATTGGTCAGCCAGGGGACAGAGGTATTGGTTCATCCGGGGGGAGGAGGTATTGGTCAACCAGGGGAGAGGAAGTATTGGTCAACCAGGGGAGAGGAAGTATTGGTCAACCAGGGGAGAGGAGGTATTGGTCAACCAGGGGAGAGGGAGTATTGGTCAACAAGGGGAGAGGAGGTATTGGTCAACCAGGAAACAGGAGGTATTGGTCATCCAGGGGACAGGAGGAGAATTAATGACCCAGGAGAGAGGTATATGATTGTTACCTTGTGCAGATATTAATAGAGGAGTGATATTGGTCACCCAGGGGGGGGGGGTCTGATTGATTACCTAATGGTATTGGTAATTCGCGACAAATTAGTATTGTTACCCTTGTTAGAAGGGTTGAGTTCGGTCACCCATCATATTCATGGTTGAAGAGACAGAGATCTAATATTGATTATAGATACATTCTATGAGATGTCATCATTTGGAGAGAGTAAAGCTATGGAGTTAGCCAAGGAGCAGGGAAGAGGATATGTGGAGCACAACAAGTTTCAACTTAGTCGTACATATCCGGGTGGTATGAGAACTAATTCAAGTAATTACATGCCATATCCATTGTGGAATGCTGGATGCCAAATTGGTGAGTGTCTCTAACATTTTTACTTTTTGCAAATTTATTTTGTGAACACATTACATAAAACTATACTGTGTAGTTAATTGTACTTTAATGAGATTGCAGAATAACCTTTAAGTATGTAACCATTCTGAAAGTATGCAACAATTTAATGAAAATATCTAGACATTTTAATGAAAGTGCTAACTGTTTAATGAAACTATTCAAACATTGGATGAAACTGCAACCATTTAATGTTAGTATGTGATCACTCAATGAAAGTTTTGACCATTTTGGTGGAATTGTGTGATCATTTAATGAAAGTGTGTAGCCATCTAATGAAAGAATGTAACTATCTGATAAAAGTATGTAATCATTTTAATGAAAACATGTAACCATACAACGAAAGTGAGTAACCCTTCAGTCAAAAAATGTGACCATTCTGAATTAAAGTTTGTAATATTTAATTATAAAATTATGTAACTGGAGAAATGTCCCTGCATAAACATGTTGGAAGATGTTTATATTGTACTGTCGTGTGATATGAGTGAATAGATAATGCCCAAACAGAAAATGTTGAAAAGATTGCATGCATATAAAAGGAGGGAATAGTGGAGTCAGTGTACCAGACAACAGGGAATGGGTAACTCTCCTGCCAAAATGTTACCAGTTTTGTTCTCCAAAATGATTCCCAATGCTCATACATCCAATTTAAGTAACATTGAAAATACATAATTTTTATAAAAATTATATTCAATGTAATATAATTTATATAAATGATCACTAATCATATTTTTTGACTGGGCTGAGTTTTCATAGAATAAGAATTTTATATAATAGTTCCTTGACATTTAGGATATTGGATTACAGATTATTTATTTTGTATGATTAAAGCTTGAATTTGGTTTGCCTTATTTGTGTTTATTACCTGGAAATATGACTGAATTATGTCTGTCATCAACAAATCATTTCTGAATATTTTCAAACTATTCTTCTAATTTGATTGTTGTTTGGATAGGTGCATTTCCTAGATTTTTAAGTAAAACATTGTAAAAACACTGCTTTACTGCAGGGCAGGTAAGTCTACAAACTAGTTACAAGTTATCTGTCTTGGGTATGTATAGGGGTGCTGATTGTCACACATCACAACACCTTGTATAATTATCTTAATTGTCACTCAATTTTTTAATTAGTTGCTTTGAACTATCAGACTGCTGGTGATGAAATGGACATCAATCTTGGTAAATTCCGACAGAATGGCAATAGTGGTTACATATTGAAACCAGTGTTTATGAGAAAAGGTAAGAAAAACACACTGGATGGTATGCATGCAGTATAGTGATGTAATTACACTATTTTAAAAGCATAGCCTGACTAATGTACAATGATACATTGGATGCAAGTAATGGCTATGTGTGAATTGTTTTGTCTATTCTATAATTTTTATTGAGATGTTATCCTACTAGTATATAGGAATGAGTTTTAGTATGAATTGCCTTTTAGTCAAGATTCTGTCTATCAGTGTATCTGATGTCATTCTCATGTCTAACACAGTCATATTATGTGTCAACTAAGGCATTAAGTACAATCTAGTTTTTAGTAAATATAGAGATAAGTAATCTCACTTAGTAAAGACTATATTTATTTTCTCTACAGAAAGTTCACATTTTGATCCAGAGAAGCCAGGGGAGAAAATGAAACAGAAACTGAAAATACAGGTACAATTGGCAATCATTAGCTCCCTTCAAATATGATTTCTCTGTTCACTATGCATCATCTAATTGAGGTAATGTGATTTGAGTGATGAGACTTTAATTACCTTGTTTGACATTTCTATCCATGTTAATAATCTTGCTGATTTGTTTAGGTGATCAGTGGCCAGCAGTTGCCGAAACCACCAGGAAGTAAAGAAATCATTGATCCCTATGTGAAGATTAACACATTTGGAGTGCCCAGCGATTGCTTTGATGTCAAAACTAAAGTTATTGATAATAACGGCAAGTCAATTTTTGTGGCCAATGCTATGATACATAGGCATTGTGGATAATTTAGTGTGATCATTGGTGTGTTAGCTAGGCATTGTGGGTAATTTTGCATGCTCAATGTTGTGATACCTAGCCATTGTGGGTAATTTTGTATGCTCAATGTTGTGATACCTAGCCATTGTGGGTAATTTTGCATGTTCAATGGTGTGATACCTAGGCATTGTGGGTAATTTTGCATGCTCATGTTGTGATACCTATGCATTATGGGTAATTTTGCATGCTCAATGTTGTGATACCTAGCCATTGTGGGTAATTTTGCATGCTCAATGTTGTGATACCTAGGCATTGTGGGTAATTTTGCATGTTCAATCTTGTGATACCTAGGCATTGTGGGTAATTTTGCATGCTCATGTTGTGATACCTATGCATTATGGGTAATTTTGCATGCTCAATGTTGTGATACCTAGCCATTGTGGGTAATTTTGCATGCTCAATGTTGTGATACTTAGGCATTGTGGGTAATTTTGCATGTTCAATGTTGTGATACCTGGGCATTGTGGGTAATTTTGCATGCTCAATTTTGTGATACCTAGGCATTGTGGGTAATTTTGCATGCCCAATGTTGTGATACCTAGCCATTGTGGGTGATTTTGCATGCTTTATGATATGATACCTAGGCATTGTGGGTAATTTTGCATGTTCAATGTTGTGATACCTAGGCATTGTGGGTAATTTTGCATGCTCAATGTTGTGATACCTAGCATTGTGGGTGATTTTGCATGCTTTATGATTTGATACCTAGGCATTGTGGGTAATTTTGCATGCTCAATGTTGTGATACCTAGCCATTGTGGGTAATTTTGCATGCTCAATGTTGTGATACCTAGCCTTGTGGGTAATTTTG